ACATAAATGTATCGTAAGCAATGGGGATTACTTTGTAGCTGGCCAAATAGAAATTGATGAATAAACGAATGTCTTGAAGCTTTTTTAAGAGGACAGTACATTCTTACTCTTCGATTCATTTTTTTTTCCACTTTTCCATCGACATCTTCTCATAATTATGCGAAGCACAAAAGCGAGTGAGATTTTTCCCGTGACTCGTTAACGCTTCGTTAAGGGTTGAAACGTACCACGGGAGGAGCTCGAGTTGTTCCTCGATTACAACAAGCGTTAATTAGAAACAGTTTACGTGTCACGGTTAAGGGACTTGATTAGCTACTGACGTAATACCGCGGAAGTTCTGCGGAACTTCGGAAAGTTCAACTCCCTGTTTATCTATGCAAATATTGTACATTTATCATCGGGGATTGGGACTGAATTTTCACCATTAATAAGAAAATAATTTACGCTGTACCTCTACAAGAGCCAGTAGATTTACGTTTTTCCATAGTACCTAATTACTTGCACAGAATTTCTTTTCGATTCTTGCTCGTGCACACGTTTTAACTTTTATGCGTTAATTTTATAAGTAATGTTTTAAAATATTGCGTGCGGTGTTTCTGGAATGTTATTTGAGACTTCTAGGCTAGAGCCGTGGGCTATCATAATTAAATTTCGATGTTTCGTCAACATTGCAGTTAGCTTCATCGGAATACACAGACATATTAATAATGTCGTGTGTCGTTTTGAATTTAGCTTTATAAATATACCGTGCTCGTGTCAGGGATCATTAACCACCAATCGAGTGTTTTTAATTGGTCACCTGGACAATTAAAGAAAAAATGCATATGGTTTATTTACAGTTACTCCCAAAAATATTTGGACACTGATAAAACAAGCATTAAACACGCCGCAGAAAAAAATATTCATAATATATACAATATTATGAATATGAATAATCTGAACATTATATCTACTATGAATATTAAAAATATTAATTTTAACCGAGTGTCTGAATATTTATGTGAAGTAGTAGTTGAACGTAATTTCGAATAATTTGTATTACAAAGTCATATACGAAAATGCATTAACCTTTAAAAGCTATTATCAATGAAAATCACGTTAATGGATGAAATTTCACCCGGTGTATATTTTTTTATTTTAAAAATCAGAAAAGTTAAACAAATATAATTACATCTTTTATTACTGTTGAATATTAGCTGAAAAGCAGAGAAGTTATTGTTTGCAACGGTTACTAATAACATTGCGATTGTTACTGCAAATAAACTTATTTCAGATTGGGCACTTAACATTGCATTGTCCATCCTCTTTTCTCGGGCAAAGCTAGCATCTGCTACTTTGGTGTCGATCTCGATGGCATTGGCGTGGTGTCTTTAATGTTTTCTTCAATAATTCCTAAAATTCTTTCGCTTAATTTATAAAGAAAATTTGAGATTTTTAACCGTTCTTTTAAAAACGGTTTTATTAGAGAAAATCCTAAGTCTATGAAGTTTTGGATGATTATTGCATTTCGGCATAAATGTTTGTTTTAGCGTCATATTACATTCCTATCAAAAGATACACCGCTTGTGTTTTATTTTCAAATAATTATTCACTTCGTTTAATTTTATTTTCAAATAATTCTTTATTTCATTTCATTTTATTTTCAAATGAAAAAGTGCCTTTGCACGCACCGCTTGTGTTTTATTTTCAAATCGGGCACGAACTTTTGCAATCATCCAATAGTTTAGTCTTGTGCGATTTTTAGTCCCTTTGGCAGCGTACATGGGAGAATTGATCTGATTTATGATAATGTTGTCACTACTGATAGTGTGAACAAATACGCATAAAATTAGTATTTCCAGTGGCTGCGTTGTTTAGTAAAATTAAAGCAAGTTTCATATGAGGTGAAATTTCACCCAAGATAGCCTTTGAGAGTTAAACCAACAATACCTAATGCTAAAGTACAATAAATGACGTTTCATAACGAAGATGCACGAACCCAATCCTTTTATAATTAACCCAAATATATCACTAGAAATGCAAGCTTATATAGCAGTGGTGGCCAGCTACACTACCTTTGGAAGCCACATTTCAGGAAGGGATATTTGAAAGAGACGTTTATTTATCTTTGATAATAAAACAAACAATGAGAAACTAAAAAATCAGTTCAATTTTTTAAAGTTTACCCACAGATCTTCCCTCCCCCTGGTCAGCCATATGTCATACATACATTTTATTTGCATAAGAGCCGCGCTGTGGCCACCCCTGTTATATAGTGTCCGAATATTTTCCGGAGTAACTGTAACTTCCTCAAAAACGCCTAAAATCGGTGCAATCTAGAAGAAAAATAACCTGGCCTATAACTGTTAAAAATCTTCTTTCAAAACCAAAAAAAAAAAAAAAAGGTATCTTTCCATTTACCTCACATTTTGCCACAATATCACTTCGCCGCTGTGAACACGCGGATCCATGCAAAGTCGATCGTGAGAAAAATGTGTAAAAAGAAACAATATTCCCAAGGTACATCCAGCGTTCAACGAAATCCATAAATGGGATGGCTTACAACCGTCTATCAGGGTGGCAGCTCGCGAACGTGATTTATCGGGAGCGGCTTTTGCAGCGTTAGATATATGTCGACACCGATGTCACCTTAAACTCGTCTTATTTCTGTTCGATGCAATATTATTATATCCCGCTGGATCCACGGCTGACGCTCGCTGAATAAAGTATAAGACTTGCAATGTGGAAAATACCCGCGGATTTCATCCGGGATTCCCTCTGATTCCCAGAGCTCCTGGTTCGTTTTATAATCCCTCGATAAATATTCTATTTGCACGCGATAGTTGAGGGGTGCCTTTGTCATCTACGACGAAAAACTGATCGATGGATTACGTTTCTTTCGATCGTGTACGAACTATTTCTGCTCACCGCGATATGCCCCCTTTTGGTCCCGCTGAATTATTTAACAGGGGAATTTCTTCAGGGAATTAACTGGCGGACCTATTCTTGTCTATCGTTGATCGAATTAACCGCAGTAAGGATCATGTTTAATTATACAACGAAATTTCCCGCTTATTCGGAACCGTCTAACGCGACATGCTTAAACAGACAATGAAAGATTGATATTTGCACCTCTGTTTGCGCCTATAAGCGTTTCGAATATTTGCGCGAATTTAATCCTTAATTTCTGTCCCTTGCATACTTCCACTTCACTTTTTAAACCGATAAATTTAAAAACTTTTTTAAATTTTAATACGCCGAAACGAAAAATTTTGCGGTAGCTATTGAACACGTACCGCCTGCCTCGTGGGTTACGTATTAAAATCTGCAGCAGCGGAAGGGGTAAAGGATCATTCCAGTAATCACGCCGAAAATTTCGACTATACTCAGGATTTTTCAGTTATTAGTGCACTTACAAGGCACGTGCAACAAGTTTTTAGATAGCTTTTTAATTACTTGTTTAATGCTGTGTCTGGAAGCAGAGATAGTGCCTTTAAAAAGAGACGCCTCGCTGGCGGAATTAATTTCAGCTCATAGACTCATCCATAACGAAAAAATCAACAGAGTTTATAATCAGTACGAGTGCCAGAATTAGCAGTTTGAGTTAAAATTGAACAAAATGGTGTGCGTTCAAAGTTTAGGTATCGAAATTTTCGAAAAGCCCAAGCACTCCGAAGTTTGCTGCAAAAATTTATACATTTTCAAAAGTTCGTGTGTACTTCCGTAAAATGCAAAAAAAAAATCGATGTTTCAAAGCCTGATTACTAGAAAGTGTCCTTAATTTGTTCCAGAAAAATTGTAATTTAATAAAGTTATCGAATAAACGGATGCGTAAAAAAGTAGCCAAGCGATACTCTTCCAACTCGACGAATGAAAATTATTCAAAACTCCTGAAACGTCCCACTCGAGGAAAGGAAAATAATCAGAGGGTTTGTGAAAAAAAAAAGTCGAAGTACCAGCCAATTTAAAAACATTCCTACTGTCCGAAACGACAAAGGTCGAGCTCCATTTCCCAGCGGGTCCATGCCAGCAACGACCATTCGAGTTTCGCGTCGAGGCAAGGACCAATCCTTCGAATATTTCCCCCTTTTTTTTTTACACTTTCGGTTGTTTCGCGAAGGATCCTCGCATCGAAGATCTCGTAATAATGGCTCCATGTGATAAATCGATTCCCCTGGAGAGAACTTGAGACTGTCATCATTTGTTCTAGATGGAGAGGACGACGAAGCGGGGCGAGTAAACGTGGCCGCGCGATCCCCCGAGCGGAGAAGTCGTAAAGTCGGACCGGGGGAATCCATAAACTGGCCGAATGAACGCCCTACGCGTCTCGCCTCGATTCCAAAGCTATGGAGTGGAGTAATAGAAGTCTTTCCTGATAATCTTCAAGAAATTACAATAGTAGGTGCTGTTAAGAGGAACACTTCGAATTTCCCAATTGTATCTCCGAAATGTTACTCGAAACGTTGAGCACAGTGGAAGGAGGAAACGACGAGGGCAACGAACCCAGCTAATACGTCAGAATATTGAAACATCGTACAGTTTCACTGGTTAGATACTACAAAATTCGAAATCAATTTTATATTCGAAAGTGATGCCAGAGATAATGGATGATTTTTACGGAGCTTCGCGCGCTATGTTGTTCTCATCTTCGACGATTCCCGTGTACACGTAACACGTATGAGAGGTCGAAAACGAGGAGGTCTACTTCAGATCCGTTTTTTGACCATCTACGGTGTTCCTGAACATTGAACAACGTGTTAATCGTTCGACTATGAGGAACAAAGTACAGGCTAGTGGTTCCGGAGTGAACAGGATCACGAGGCGTTGCTCGTTCGTGGACAAAGTGCCCTAGTTCACTCGATGACTCGATGTCTGTGAGCAGTCTGAAGTGGAGGACAAATCGATGAAGACGTAGCACGTGTATTCTGTGTGGTAGAATTTGTCGAAGACATGGAGGGGAACCTGGCGAGCTCATGGACGAGCAATCTGACGGCTATGCTGCATCAATTACCTTGTAACGATAGTATTCTTGGGTGTATGGATGAGTGTGGTCTCGGTTCCTCTGGGTTCGATCACATGTGCACGGTGGAAAAGGGGACCTTCACGTCGTCGATGACGCTGCTATGCAGGCCTTGTGATTATTCCAATTGTGATGTGAACGTGTCGTTGGTTCTCAGTGGCCTGGAGAGTATAGAGGGAATGTTCTTGTCCAGGATACCAAGATTCAGAGGGTGCAACGAGAGTACCTTCGACGATCAGGTGAGAATTCCATCGTTTCTCAAGTATTTCTTCCTTTTACCTGGCGGTCAAAGTCTTACACACGAGACAATAGGGGTCTTGTAACTTTGAAACGTTCTATTAGGCCATCTTGAAAGTTCCCGCGGTTTTAAAACTCAATTTCAAACATTTTTATTTGAATGAATTTTCATAATGTTCGGTACACTTTTAACAACGAAACTGCTGAAAGGCGTTTTCAATATCCTCCTGTTTCATAAATCGTTTTGTGTAAGGAAACTGTCAAATGAAAGGAAAAAGTGAAAATCGGTCGGAGATATATCAGGGGAATATGGGGGATGAGGTAGAACTTCAATACCCAGTTGATGCAATTTTTGTACAGTTGTACTTGCTACGTGTGGTCTAGCGTTGTCCTCTGTTGACCAAAGCTGATTGCTGTACTTTCAGTTTTTGGTGGACGACCTCCAATTCGTTACTGTACGACTCTGCAGTGACAGTGGTACCACCCGGTCTTAGGGAACTAGTGAATTAATCCCGAAGTAGACCACCAAACTGTGAGCATAATTTTTTAGGGTGTAAACTACATTAATGGCAAAAGTGTATCGAACATTATGGAAATTATTTCAAATAAAAATATTTAATTTCAACGGTATTAAGTTTCTTTTCCAAAATGAACGGTTTAAAACCGCGGGAACAGTGAGGATGACCTAATAATTGCCATTCTCTTCTCTTTCGTCACTTTCACAGATCCTGGAATGCACACCAGCGGAGAACACTACGACAGAGGACCTGACGATCTCTTGTTCTCATCGAGCAAAATTAACTTCAACACCAAGAGGTCGCCGCTTCGATTGGAGTTTCCTTTTCGTAGCAGTGTTCATCGTGGCTGGTGGTCTGGGGAACATACTGGTCTGTCTAGCTGTAGGACTTGACAAGAGGCTGCACAATGTCACCAACTACTTCCTTCTCTCCCTCGCTGTGGCGGATCTCCTCGTTAGCCTGTTCGTGATGCCTTTAGGCGCTATTCCAGGATTCTTGGGTAAGTTTTTAACCTAGATATCCTGTCATCCAGAATTTCTCTTGCCGTCCTTTCATTCTCCGCAGAAAATACACGCAGTAGTTGGAAATATTAATCTACAGCTTAGCCAGAAACTAATATTTGACTTGTTATTCTAAGGCACAGTGTATCTAACGATGGTATCACATTGTTTTCGTATACTATGCAAATGTTGTAACATGAAAATTGCACGGTTTCCGGTGGAATGCTATTCTCGCGAAATATTATTTCTTTTTGTTATACGAGAGGGAGTTGGAGTAGTTTCCATACTTCTTTTTGCCCAGTTGTAACAGAATTCGAGCCAGATACCGTTGGCCTGGAATGACGCCAGCTAGATAACCAAGGGAACACGATCAGTCGATTAAATGGAACTAATTAAAACCCCGATGGAGTTTCGCGACAATCTGCTGATCCATTGCCCGCGAAATTTACCATGGATCGTTGATTGTTCCAATTAAACGTGTTTCTAATTCCTAAAACGGGAGTAAACGTCGTCTTGGAATGATCTTTTCGGTGGGGGAATTGTCTTAGACCGATACTCGTCGAGGCAGAAGGCGATATCAAGAATTCGAGGGGAGACCATCATGCGTCGATTGCTCTCAAAGCTCTTCTGAGGGCTTAATGAACAGTCTCGCGGTAGAATCGAACCTCTTAATGAGCGTCAGAGAGCGGATTTTCATCAACGACTCAAATTCTTCCTCCTTTCATAGCTATGTACATGTCTTTCGAGATTTATGACCTGAAAACTTTCATTCGTTATTAAACGAATGTGTAACCTTTTGTATTTTTATATGTACTTTCGATGAAAATTATCATTTATATCACATATATCACAGTTATCACAATTATCATATATATCACAGATGAAAATTAGAGCAAGCTGTATAAATTCAGAGTACCAGAGTCGACTGAAATGTTGTATATAGTGTGTGACTATTTGGCTTTGTCTGCAGTGTTTGTTTGCAGTGACAGAGAAGAGATGGATAACAGTGAGAAACGATCCAATACTTGATGATAAAGGACCTGGAATGACCTTTGCAGTGATTCCCTTTATTACCACGTATTGGATCACTTTTCGTTTTCCACTTTTGTCCATCTTTTCTCCGTCACTGCAGACCTCTGCTTCGTCAGCTATAAAAGAGAGGGAAAAACGGCAAAACCACGAAACTTCATACACCAGCACACAAATGATTACATATTCTCTCTAAAAAATATACGAACGAATGAAAGAAGTCTCTTTTTTACAGTGACACTTACTAATATTCGGACACTCTTTAGAACAGTATAACTTTTTTTAAATTAGACCAAACGTCTGAGTTTTTTTGAAAAGTTAGGATTAGTATACTAGATGACGTATGCAGAGAATTTTGAAAAAATTGCAATTTGGATGTACTTTTCAGCATGTGTATAATTGACATAAATCTACAAAATGTATTTTTTAAATTTTCATTACGTGCTCAGATAAAAAAAGTTGTAAACAGTGGCCTGTACAATTTTCTTCGTGATTTCCACACATTGCAAATTTTTCAAAATTTTTTGTATACGTCATCTAATAATACTATACGTCCTTCTAACTTCTTAAAAAAACTCAAGTCGTTATGTCTAATTTAAAAAAAGCAACGAAGAACCAACTTTCGAATTCCTATCTCAAACAATTTGTGTCCAATTTCCCGCAACCATTTCAAGATTGTTTCCCTCACTTCCCCAGTTGTGTCTTTTATCATTTGGTCAAACACATGGAAATCGCACAATTTCGCATTTTCGCAGAGAAGGACCATTTTTCTACTGAGTTTTCCGGGTCATTTATTTTTTTACGCCACTTCGTACACGTTTTAACGTTTAACCATAATCAAAAGCGTTAGTTGTTCTCCTCTTAAGCATAAGTTCAACGAGAATTATGCCTTCTGAATCGAAAATAAACTTCACTCACCTTTGTATTACACGGTAAAAATTAAAAACACCTAGCAACAGACCTTCATACACTTAGGTCACGAACTTTACAATCGACAGTCGTAGCTTGTTCGTTTTAACGAGGCGAAAAGGGTCACGCCTGCGTTTTGACATTTTTTTTTTTTCCGAGGCCACTCGAAAGTTGTTCGCGTTTTAAAAGGGGAAATAAGAAACGAAGTTTCGGGGAACGGGGGAAATTATACAGCGACAAAAAAGCGATATCTGAAACCGCCGTAAGGGAAACCAGCTGGAAAAGCTTCGCGAAGAAATTCAACGTGCCTGAACTTTTCTCGTGAGAACGCGCGTGCCTGGTATCTGTTTTAGGAATTCGTTTTCAATAATCGCGTAGGCGGTGAGAAACGATGCGTTGGGGTCTTTGCAGAGGTATCTCGACTGCGAAAAGTGCCTGTGTTCATCGTGATTTTAAGTGAAAGCCTCCAGCTGCTGACGAACGTCTCGGAAAATGGAGGAAAAAATTGATTTCGTGGGTGGAGAATGAAATCGTTGAGTAATCAGGCGATTCTTCGTTGTCTGATAAATGGAAGCGATTTTTTTCTGTCTGTTCTTTGCTCTATGAAGTTGAACTTTGTGCAATTATTTGAGATAAGAAATCATCTCCTTCTTCTATCCCTTCCAATTTAATTAATCTCTGCTAGAATAATAATCAAATACGTAAAATCCCACTGACGCACAGTGTAGTGTGTACTTATATACGTATATGAAAAAGTTGGTTAAAATTATTTTACTAGTTTTAAACCAAATACACTTTTTATGTACATATATGATTTATTTTATTATGAAATTTTCATATGGAAACTTTTAATTTGAGAGTGATAAAGGAAACAAAAATTTACCACCAATTTTTAAACAATTTTTACGTAATATTGTAAGAATGTTAGGTTACAAACAGATTTTGCTCACAGAAAATTAAGAACAATAATGGTTATATTTTAATAGTAACAGAAAAAGAAGCAAGCGAACAAAAATATTTTTTATATGGCCTTCTTCTGCCTAAAGTCACAAAAATGGCCGTTATGATACTTCATTTTAATAATATTATAAGAAGAAAACCTTTTTTTGGTTTTTAAATAAGTTTAAAAATTTGAAACTCTAGTCAGCCTCTTAAATAAAACACTCCACTGTGCGGTAATCTCATTCAGTGATTTAACGAATTATTATCAGAAAGATATTGTAATATCCTGCATTTCATCGAAATGAAGCTTAAAAAACATGACTCACAATTATTTTTTTGCTCTAATTATACCAAGCTTAGTCGCAATAATTAACCGTTGTACAAGTTTAATTTTTGTTACCTGAAACGAGAATTTCATTCAGAATCTCAGAGTCTCGAAGTTTCCTTTATGGTTCCCATAAGTGTATAAAGAGAACAAATTTAGAAAGTTACAGCCCGGAAACAGCCACTCCGAATTATCGAACGTGGGAAGAAATCGAATTTCCTCCGACGGTGAACACAACCAACGTAGCTTGACTTCGAAGAAGTTAGCATTGCCACGCTTTCACTAGCAGTACAACTACGGTCTATCTAGTATTATCTTCTGATCCTTACTCAACCTAAACTTGTTAATCCTTTTTCTCAAGCTTCTTGCACTGGTTAAAACGTTTATTTCATTCAACTTAATCCTTTGCGGTTCAAATAGTCCAGTTAATCCGCTCTAATTTGGTACCCCATCTAGTTTCCCTTTATATCAACATTACAGCGTAATATTAGTTATAAAATACTAAGTTTCAGTATAACATTAATGCGTAAAAAAATGGTTCATTATCATTTATAATTTATAATTTAGCATTATACGATATCTGAAGGGAAAAATTCTTATATCCAGTCTGACTCGACAGAGGACCGCAAAGGGTTAATAAAAACTGCGTGAAAGATGAAAATTAGTAAAAAAAAAAGAAAATCAATGCTTTCTTCGAATACTTCCGGCCGAAAGGGACAGTGTCCCGTTCACCGGTGACGCGACAGAAGAGTCACATTTATCGCGCGGAAACTCGTTCCGGCCGCTCGACGAGACAGTAGGCATATTCGCCCGTGAAAATCGTCCCTAAATCGTCGGCTGTGGACGCGGAAAACGAAGTGGAACAACTCGCGTTACGGTACGGTACCCGGCCGGGCCGTACGGGAATCCGCCTCTCTCAGATTACGTTTGCAACGCGATCCGCGGCCTGAATCGCGATGATAGGGAGCCGCGGAAACGGGAGACGATCCGCGAGAGAAAAGAGACCCTTGGCTCTGGCGAACACGCGCCACCATTCGATCATGGTTATCGCGAATTCTACGCGACTTTCCAAATACTCCATCCAGTTCCAAAGGAAAGTACAGCGAATTTCAAATTTCATTAGGAATCTTTGGATTTTTGATCGTCGACTGACGAAGCTGGGTCATCTGTGACCCGTATCATTTGCGTGTGCAAGAGCTGTTACTGCCGACGGGTCGTCGGCGATTTGATTGACGAAAGTCCAAAAACCAGACAACTAAACTCGGCGATCAAACACAGCAACTCGAAAGTTGTCAGTGTCGTTGTAGAAATTTATCTGCATTGAAGTTCGTCGTTACATCTGGTTTGCAAGAATGTTGCCTATCGTGTGAACGCGTGCATTTTATTCAATGCACTTCATCGGCCGTCGCGACCAGCTGGTTGCCCGTGCGTCGCTCGTGTTTTCGTGGTCGCCGTGACCATGTGCGTACGAGCTCATATATTCTCTTGAACCTTTTTCATTTATTTATTTACTTTTTCTGTTGTAACGTTGAGGAAATCTTCAAAGGACATCCCGTCTCTCCCGGAGGGAAGGCGGGGTAATGCCGGATTTTTACCGGCTAAAATTACACGGCTACTCTTGTTGGCGCGCTGAAGGGAGAGGGGGAGGGGTGAGCATCATTTTCAAATACTTCGGAGAACATATTTTTATGAACCTAGTGGTTGCAGACGACCTGGTCGACAGTGCATAACGGCTTTAAAAGGTTCGTGGGATATACGGGAGTGGGGTAAAAACTGCAAGGGTGTTGGGATCTT